GGCTGACGTATCACATGGGCTAATCACCATAGGGGAAGAGTAGAAACGTCTCTTCTACTAGTACACGCCCTCTCAATAAGATGTGTTCGTCTGGCTATACTCTTCGCTAGCAGACTCGGCTCTGCAGAGCGCAGGTTAACATACTGCACATTCACGCCGACGAAGGTAATTGGCAAGCGCCAATTACCTTCGCGCCAAACACATTCGTAACCTCTTACCTGAGTCTCTAAGTTGGCAAACCACGTAGAATAGAAAAGCAGTAACATCAAAATATATGGTTTTATGATCCATGAACAACTTCGCAAATAAACATAAGCACTGGCAAAATAACTGAAAAACAAATTCATGATAAGGGCTAATACATTTCATAACAATTCAGCATAACTTGAATACCTTTTCTTTTTCTCCATCAACCTCATACACGGCAATTTTTTCATCAGTATCCACATATATTTCTCTTCCAGGAGGATGCTTTACATTACATGTACTCTAAAAAGGGTCAGATTAAAAGAAAAACCATATAATGGGTAAGAAAACAAGAAGCACTAAAATCCCTTGGAAGACATTCCACAAACTCGAAAGAATCTCAGCAGTTCTTGCAGATAATTTTGGTGCCTAGCACCTTGTGAAAAACAGCGAATTGCTAACAACTCTACTACTCGAATGCTAATAATAGAGTGTAATTAGCGCAGTTTTGAATAAAAAGAAAAGGAAAAGCCAGCCTATGTGCCCCATGTGGCAGCCCATGCTAAACCGCATTTGTACGTGCATAAGGCTAAGAAAGGGCGCGGCTGGACTAGTTCCCACTGGTTGGTGTCATCTGCTTGTCCTTTTCATCTCACTCGCATCACAGAAACTGAGAGAGTTAGTAGCGAAAATAGTTACCGCCAGACAACAGTTAAAATGAACCTTGGGCGTTGCCGTGCCAGCGGGCGGGGCCCTGGCCTCGTAGCGATCTATTTCAGCACTGCAAAAGTTGCACACCCCCATGCTCGCCGAGAGGATTACTTTGTCCAAAGAAGGCGCGCCTCAATGAAGTTGGGTACGCCTCTAAGGCAGCGTTCAGACTTCGCGACGGCAGCGCTTCGGTCGCGCGTTCGACGCGATCGATGCAGTCGAAAGCATGCGCATCGATCGCGTCGAACGCGCGACCGAAGCGCTGCCGTCGCAAAGTCTGAACGCTGCCTAACATAATGAAGATGCACTGCTCAAAATGCACTTCTTCTTGGTTTTCTCCAGGATAAACGCGCATATACAAGTTGTTTCTTCCAAAATATACTGGTTGTAGTTCCTCAAAAGTAAGTTCTTTGTATTTTAAAATGAGACAGGTTGCCTTTCCCTCTACCTTTAGATTTCAATGTGTTAAATCACCAAATTTCAAAATAAAAACTACGATTATAAGAGAAAAGTAAGGGGACTCGTAACAAGATATCGAGATGAACTGACCAAATGCATTTTGAAAGCCCTCTCTTGTCGCATATACAGAAAACATTTGTCACAAATGAATAGATATCTTTCTCTTCCATATTCATCAGGATATGGTGAAACGTACCTAAATGGTAATACATATAATAGAAGCTATCATATAGTCCAGTTCGCTGCGGATGGAGGATCGGGTCGGGCATGGATTTGGCTGATTGAAATACAAGTTGGTGAAGCGAGCAGGTATCAAGACTGCTCCATATTGTTCGCATCATTCGTTTTTCATCAACGTCGCTTACCCGCTTCAGCAACCGGTAGAAAACGGGTTTGGCAGCGTGCCGAACCATCTCGCCTGACACGCCTCTTCATCCGCACAGAACAAAACTGTACACACTGTTCACTACACTTACCAAGTATCCATTTCAAATTCACCATATCGCACCACTTCGATATATTTGACTTTTGTTACCTGAATCAAGTAAAGTTTTAGAAGCTCCAGAACAAGTTCTACTGAAGCATTTGTTTAACATAACCCCACTTAACTGAAAAGATTATGAACTACCTCTATATGCTGCTCTTCTAAAACTTCCGTATAATCCAGGCTGGCATTATTTGGAGAGTTTTCTTTCGCTTTTCGCATCCGCTTCTCTCTCATTTCATAAACCGGTGCGATTCGCTTGTTTATTTTATTGCGAAACTAAAAACAGAATGTTGAGGTTGGTTTGTGGGGGGAACATTTTGAGTGTCTCAATGTTAGCGGGTTGAATATGTTTCCTTTTAATACTCACCAGTGTACAAAAAAAATAAATTGCCTTCAATGTTGACCAATCCTTTTCTGGATGCATCACACATCTATTAACATGGTCTCTGAATACTAACTGGTCCATGCATCAAACAGGGCGTCTCAGGGCACTTGTCAACCGCGAAGCCTCTCTTCTCTTTCAATTTTTCTTCCTCCTTCCTTCCTTCCTTCTCTGTTCCCTCCTCCTTTACCTTCTCCCTCAACTACTGGAGCTAGTAGATGCCCCGAGAAAATACCTCTGGATCCTTGCAGCTTGAGCACGTCTGGTTGACAACAGCCCGCGGGGCAAGGTTCCATCTGTATGAGCTGCGACTTTATCCTCCCACATAAGACTGACGTTGTGTAAAACGGAATTAATTCCAATAACAGAGAAATTCGGCGAACAATTGCAAGCAGGGTCAAGCTCACCTTGAGAAAAATTGGTCCGTCGGCACGACCTCTCCCCATAAAAAGGGTGTCCTTACGACCCTCAGCCCATCACTGCGAACATGCATTGTAAACCAAAAGCTTTCCACTCTACAACAAAACGACCGCCCTTCCAGCCAGTCAAAATACGACCCCCAGTGAGGGTCCTCAACAATCCTCTCTAGACACTTTACTCTGACTGCCTTCAAAATTTTCCCTTGCAAGGCTGAAACAGGTAGCTCCACTATGCGAAGCTCCGACCACTTCGCAGAAGCCCCACCCACTTCTTAAAAGTGATCAATTCGGCAGGTCAGAGTCTCCCTCGCGTGAAACATAAAATAAGGCCGAGTGACGAGCCAGCTGAGCCTCTAGGCTGCAGATCATTTTTCAGAAGTGGGTAGTACTCCCGCAAAGTGGGCCGAATTTTTTGTAGCGGGCGCTACCTGTATCAGCCCAAAAAGGGGGAAATTTCAAAGAAAAAAAAAGCCAGAATTATGGTAAAAAGTGGGTGTGGCTAAAGGGACCCAGCTCAGTGTGTCAGTGTCAAAATGAGTGTCTTATCCGTTTTGTGAAGAACAGATGTGAACAGAACGACAATGAAAAAGATAAAATTCGAAATCCGCGTGTGGCCCATATGGTTTGAAAAGTGTCCCATTCAAAATGAAAAGGTATACGTCAACTAGTAAAAAAGAAATCCGTAGTAATAAATTAAAATCAAACCTTCAATCTGCTTGAATCCAACCAATGATCAAGTCGTCTGTCATCTCCATCAAAATGCACGTACAGCTCAACACGTCCATTTTCTCCACGTCGCTTGTCCAGCACGGTAGCACGACGCCAGCAACCTCGCCTTCCCCGTACTTGATAATTTTCACCAACTAACACTTCCTCACCGGGCAATATGGGCATGCAAGCAAAAGCGAAAACGCCTGAAATACGTCGGGTGCACCCATAAAAGACAAATTAATACGGCGATAAAGCGATTGTAACACAGAGGAAGCATTAGCAAACGGTAGACATTATGGCCAAGCTAAAGACTGGGGTAAGTGGGTCACGTAAACGGTGAAATCAGCTGAGGATTTGGCAGGAACATAGAACTAGAAATGAGGAGCAAAACAAACAAACGCAAAGAAACAGAACCAACGAAAGAAAGCCGTGAGCTAAGTGAGGGGCGCAA